CTGTCCCCAGCAGATGAGTCCCTCAGGACCCAAACTCACCCCTCAGACCCCTCCGTCCCCAGGCTGGTGCCTCCAGCAGCTCTGGAACCTTCTCCATTTGCTCTTTGCCTGATTTGCCTCTACAGAAAACTTCTCCCTGCCAGCACAAAGCCTCCCGTGCCTGAGAACCTCATCCCTGGAACACAGCAGCATACCTTGGAGCATTCCTTCCAGTGGTTCTTCCTGACGAGCTGGCCTGGCAGCTCTTCCCTCTGCCAAAAACTCCTGCCCAATCTCCCGAGGGAAAGGCAGCAGCAGCTTCCAAGAATTTCTTTCTTTCTTGCTCAGGTCAGACTCAGGAAGTTTTGGTATTATTTTATTCGTACAGAAAGATTTGCTGGCTCTGCTCTGACGTGGCCACCCTGAGCTAATCCTGCCCCAATTATTCATTTATTTACAAGAAAAACAAATCAGCTGCATGATTGTTGTTGTTGTTGTGGGCTCGAGTTTTTGGGGGAGAGCTCAAAGCCCTGAAGGCTTTGGGAAGGCTCAAGGTGCATTCAGGGTTAAGGACCAGCCCTCCATACAGGTAAATACCCAGAAAAGTGATTTTTTTATATCTCATCATTTTGTATATCACATTCAGGGTTAATGACCAATCCTCCATACAGGTAAATACCCAGAAAAGTGATTTTTTTATATCTCATTATTTTTTATATCGCATTCAGGGTTAATGACCAACCCTCCATACAGGTAAATACCCAGAAAAGTGATGTTTTATATCTCATTATTTTTTATATCACATTCAGGGTTAAGGACCAACCCTCCATACAGGTAAATACCCAAAGAAGTGATTTTTTTATATCTCATCATGGAGTGGTTTGGGTTGGAAGGGACCTTAAACTTAGCTTATTCCAACCCCTGCCATGTGCAGGGACACCCTGCACTTCACTAGGACTGCAAAATAACTTCTTGAAACTAATTCAGGACTAAATTTCCAGTGTGAATTTTAGTTACCCTTTGGAGACTCAGCCTTTAATCAGAATTGTGAGGTCTTTAAACCCTGACCAACTGCAAGACCCAACAGATCTACCAAGATTCATTATCTGATCATGTTTTAAACACAGCACTGGGTTCAGGATCTCCAGGAGCAGTTGCTTTTTGCTGTTTTTATTAAAAATGCCATGGTTTTATTAAAATTACCATATTCTGCCTTTTTGAGCTGCAGATCCCTCCCTGTGACCCACCAGAGATCTGTCACCCTGCTGCTCTCTGGCAAATCCATAATGGATTTGCAGAGCCCACTGGGATGAAGAACAGTTCTAGAGCCAGTGACCAGGAAAAGAAAGAATATTCCAGAGAAATGTGGCCAGGAAAAGGAAGGAAAATACTTCAGATTGGTTTTAACTCCATGAAAACAAGTATTTTGAAGCCACAAAATGTATTGGCTTAAAGACTTCTTAAAGAAAAAGAAAAATATCTTCAGCTATAACAAAAATGTCTTGAAATGAGAGGTATTTTTCAAGCAGGGAATAATTCACACACCCTGCCTACACAAAAAGAAATAATGAAGAAGCCACAAATACGTGGCAGCCCAGACTGCCTTTGCAGCAGCATTAACTTTGATGAATTCCTGAACTGCTCATAGGTCTCAGACTATGCAATTAGCCAGGAATTCCTTTATAATTGAGCTCCAGTGAGGTGCACACTTATTAGGAATCTGTGCTGACAGTATTTTGTTTTAATATTCACACCACTGCTTTATAAATAGGTAGGCAGAGTGCTTTGATCTGGAAATGTGGCCATTCTTGCTACGAAAAGGAGAGGAGCAGAGCTTTGCTTTCAACTGCAGGAGTGGTTTGGGCTCAATAACAGAGTTCAAGATTTGTTAAAGAAAAAAATAAAAAAAAAATCCATGTAACTTTTAGATTTATATATTGGTTTCAGAGCCTGGACCCAAAAACTGAGCAGTGATTCCACACAATGATGTCACTGATGAGTGACCTGTGCTCAGATTGATGCCTCATGTTTTGGCTTTTCTATTTTTCACATTCTCTGCTGATGTCTCAGGTTTTGGCTTTTCTATTTTTCACATTCTGTGCTGCTTTAGTGTGAGGCTCTGAGCTTCACACGAGGGGATGCTGAGCTCTCTGCACAGAGCAGAGACAAAACAATTCCTGCTCCAGCTGGGCACCAAGGACAAATGATCCAAATCTCAGCCCAGGAGCACCAACAGCGTGGGCTGGAGAGAGGAAAACAAGCAGGATGGGACTGCCTGGGCTGGAGCTGGAATGGGACAATGAACTCCAAGGTGCCAGTGGAGCAGAACTGATCATTTTGTGACCAACCATCCATTTTTTGGGCCCATTTTGGTTCATCTTG